CTCCCTCCCTCCCTCCCTCCCTCCCTCCCTCTCTTTCTCTTTCTTTCATTAGTTGTTTATTTATTTTTGGGGCAGGTGGTCAGGTGGTCGAGACTGGGTTTCTCTTTGTAACAGTTCTTGCTGTCCTGGAACTCATTCTGTAGACCAGGCTGGCCTTGAACTCACAGAGAACCACCTGGCTCTGTCTCCCGAGTGCTGGGATTAAAGGTGTGCGCCACCACTGTCCAGCTTCTGTTCTTGTCTTATTGCTCTTGAATACTAAAATTTTGTCTGTGCCCAATTTGTTCTTCTGACTTTGCCTGCTTAATTAATTCTCCTACTGGAATAAGGACTGCATGGATAGAAGGTAATATAACATTCTATACATCTATGCAGTATCTTCAACTTCTGAAAAAAGGATGTTCACCTTAATGGTGAATTATCAGTGATTTGATATTATCCAATTTATTCAGTCTTCTTCATCTTAGCCAATTATAGAATCTGAGTTTTATTCTTTGAACCAAATAACATCTCTTAAAAAAAATAAGGGACACTCCATACTCATAATACAAAGAGGAATAAACTTTTAAAAATATTGAACTGCATCTTGCTTTTTAGAACATTCTGTAATTTTGGTTTTACTTTTCCTATGATTAGCATGTAACTTGTTAACATTTTATTAATCACTTTTTGTACTGTCTATCAAGTATTAGGATTAAGTTACTTACATCATGAGTCTAACCCTGTATAAATATAGTGACCTGCTGTATGACTTTAATAAATTGATACTGGAGAAGGAAGTTCCTGTGTACACGTTTTCTTTCTGCTGTAAATAGTCCTAGTAAATGTCATTTGCAGCTAGCTACATGCTAGAATAAAACACTTTCAACATTTCCTTATAAAAATATCTGTCTCGTATAATGTGCTCTTTTCCCTCACTAGTTCTGGGCATTGTACCTCTACAGTATGTGTTTGTTATGACTTTCACTCTGGATGATGGAACAGGAGTACTGGACACTTACCTCAAGGATTCTGTAAGTAACAGAACTGGTAAACATATTTAATTAAAAATTTATATTTAAATTTTTTAATATAGTCATACTTCCTAGTTTTACTTCAGTGTAACTTATTGAGAACTTTTGAAGCCTAAAACTCAGTTCCTCTGTATTTTGCTCTTTAAAGGATTTAAAATAACTTAAAGTATATAAAAAGAATATAGCCGTATAAATCTAATATTATATGTCTTTAAATTTTTTATTATAAATCTTTTTTTTTTTTTTTTTTTTTTGGTTTTTCGAGACAGGGTTTCTCTGTGTAGCTTTGCGCCTTTCCTGGAGCTCACTTGGTAGCCCAGGCTGGCCTCGAACTCACAGAGATCCACCTGCCTCTGCCTCCCGAGTGCTGGGATTAAAGGCGTGCGCCACCAACGCCCAGCTATAAATCATTTTTTAAAAATGTAAAGTTGAGGAATCAAAATCAGAGGACTCATTCTCCCTGTCATGCAGAAATCCCATAGCTAGATGAAGAAGCAGATATCCAGCCACACTGTTGCCATCTTCCTGCACTTTGTAAGCTATATGCTTTCATCTTAAAAGAAATGGAGTTACTTGATAAACAAATATTGTTGTGTAAGCTGTAGAGAAGCCCAGAAGAATGCTGTCATGTCTGACACTCACAGTTGTCCATTGACTAGTCGTTGGGGCCACCTTAGCTTTGGTCATTTGCAGTCTTCCTCCCCCTATAAGCAGAGACTGTCACTTTCCCTGCACTGTGCGTTATAGAGTGCATGGAGGCCCTGATGTGACTTCTTCACGTATGCCGTCTTTCCTAACTGACTGCCCATTTGGCTGATGGCCCTCTTTCTGAGGTCAGGCTAATGCTGCATGTCCCAAACTCTTCAACCTCAGATGACCTTGTTAGATGTTCCAGATTAACCCAGTTCCAGTAGGCAAATTCAAGTCACTGGCTCTCATAGACATGAAATAGTAAAAACTAAGAGGAAGGCCAGCCATTTATTGGGGTAAGAGGTTTGTTTTGGGGGGAGGGGTTGTTTTTATTTTGACTTACATAAATTGGAAGACAGTCCAAGTTGAGGTTAAGAGATTTTTTTTCTTCTGGTTTCCGCAGTTCACCCAACCACTTACTAAATGAATATTTACTGGGAAGCTGCTGTGTGCCTTGTGTGTTGAAGACAGAATAGCTAGCAAAGCAAGAAAAATCTCTGCTGGAACTTAAAGCAGAACGGGAAGAAATCCAATGGTTTCTTAATGTTACATCCTTTCATACCTAGTAGATTTACTTTCCCGGGTACAAAAGTATCATCAGCCTTGCTGCCTGATCATACTGTGTATGTGTGTACATCTCAAAGCTGTTTTACAGTTCCAGCAGTGAATTGGGTTTTAGCTTAGATCAGTATTCCAGTTTGTGGATTCCACAGCCTTAATAGACTGATGTATATAATATGTCATTTTAGATATATGTCAGATAATATGTCAAAGTAGATATTGAAATTGTGTGCTTGAAGCTTTGTCTTTTTTAAAAATTTTGTACCTTTATTTTTATTGTATGAATGCTTTGCCTACATGTATGTCTGTTCACCGTGTGTGTGTGTGTGTGTGTGTGTGTGTGTGTGTGTGTGTGTGTATGTGTATGTGTGTTCCCTATGGAAATCAGAAGAGGACAGATCCCCTGGAACAGGAGTACTGCTGTGATCTCTTTTGTGTGTGCTGTGACTCTGACCTGGGTCATCTGCAAGAGCAGCTAGTGTCTTTAATCCCTGAGCCATCTCTCCAGCCCTACGTTGAAGTTTTTTCAAATGAATATTTCCTCTATTTATCATCATTTTTAGGAGAACTTTTTCAAGATCCCAGCATCGGAAGTCCTCACTGATGATGACCTTCAAAGAAGTCTAGAAACAATCATGAATATGATGTGTCCTCCAGGAATAAAAATTGGTAGGCAATATTCAATAGATGCCTCTCTTTTCTTTCTTTTGGAAAAACACCTAGACTGTTTCTAATCTGTAGATTGTAAAAGTAAGCAAATCATGAGTCCATGTGAATTACTAGGTTGTGAATGGTAACTGTACCCATCTTTTGATGAGCAAACTGAGTTTACATGAATTACTAGGTTGTGAATGGTAACTGTTTCCATCTTTTGATGAGCTAGTGGCTAAGACAAATATAAATCAAGGAATTTTAAAATGTTTACAAATATACTTTTAAAGCACAAGAGTTTTGGTCACAGCACATTTGACTCTGAGTTTACACATACAGCATACAGACATTGAGTCTGCAATTAAACCAAAAAGATGCAATTTCCACAAGAAACTGCATTGTCTTGTTGGACTCAGTGATGGGTTTTCTTTTCAGTGTTAATGGACTTCAGAATTTTCAGTTTTTACTTTTCAGAGTTTATGAACTCTGGTTGTTTCTGCACCAACACTGGCTTGTCAGCGTGCCCCTGCCCAGAAGAAGTTGTACCAGTTATAGCTGGCACCATGTTCTTCTGTGGCCAGTGATTCTTTTTCTCTTGGAACCTGCAGATTAAGAAAGCTTATTCTTCCAGTAATTGTTTTCAGTGACAAACCTTCTCTTTGCTGCTTATCTGTTGCTGATCTGACTATTAGAGATGCTCCTGGTGAGTGTGTGTTCTGCCAGCCAGTCTGTGCTGTAGCATCAGTTCCCAAGAGACAGGAATGCTTGTTCATCTGGAGAAAAGTTTAATTTGGATACGTTTGCTTTCAGTTTTAATTTGTGTTGGCTATTGGAATGACCATGGGTAGATTTCCCAAACGAAAAGTCTATGGGCCTGGTGACTTGTGATATACACAGCCAAGTTATTTTTTGAAATACTTTACAATGTACAGTTCCACCAGCAACGCTCAGAAGTGCCTTGTTTTATGCTGGCTGGCTTGAGGGCTGTACCAGATGCCATTCAAACCATCCTGAGCCTTCTGTTGCTGTTAGAAATAGGTCTGACCTGCTCTCAAAGTGTACAGATGTCATCAGTGCTGCCAGTATGGCAGGGTTCTGTAGGTGCTTCCTGCAGAGCAGATTCCATGTGATGCTTAGCTTAGGCTGATCTCAAGTTCAGGTTCCATCTCTTTCCAACTCATTAAGCAAAAGTAGGGAGGCCCATAAACAGTCAGCATGGGAAGAGGGGTAAATGTGCCAAAGTGATCGACTAGCTGTCTTGTCAGATGTTCTGTAAACCCAATCACTTTCATTTGTAGTTGGGAAAAAATTCAGATAGGTCAGCATTACCAGTGATGTGCTTACTTTAATGGTTAAATGATGTTTCCTGTGGTCTGTAGATGCATACCCATGGCTGGAGTGCCTCATCAAGTCCTACAGTGTCACTGTCGGAGCAGAGCAACGAATTTGTTACCAGATTTTTGATACCACAGTTGGAGAAGACATCGTCTAATGCTGCCATTCAGTGCAGTGTGTTTGGGATTTTATAATTTTAGAAAAAATTACAACTCTGAGATTGTCAGAAGATACTATTGTCAAATTCACTAAATGACTAGTGTCATTTTCATTATAGCTTAGTACTTTTGTACAGAGAAACACTTTATTGTTATTTATGCCTTCTTGTGAACATGTTAAAAATGCCTTGTTGCTCAACATGTCCAGGGAAGTACAGTATGAGGCTATAGCACTTGAGGACCAGGCTTTTGTGGCTCCTGTTTATAAAACACTGGTGGCTACATTTCATTTGTCTACAGAAGAATCCCCTTATCGACCCGACCCTGCTGAAAGAAGTCTTGGGCTTCTATGTACGAGTATATGGTTAGATGGCTCCAACTGAAGAAATGCTTATCTGAGTGAGTCTCACTATGCTAAAAGGAGTGTTTCTTCAAGTAGACATGGCAGAATTTTGTTTTGTTTTGTTTAGGTGCTGATGTTGCTTATAGGATAAATGTTTCTCTTTAAAACAAATAGTATATCTGACTTCCTACTTCTCTTTGTAAACTAGAAGTTATCCCATTCAATACCAGCTAATAAATTATTGAAATTTATAATTTTTGTGGGTCATATGTATTTTATCTTTTCAGTAGTCTTGTATAAAATATTTCTATATTGCAAATATTGAGTTCTTAACTCAATTAAATGGTCTTTTTATTCAACAGTATTTATCAATTTATGGGATGTTTTTCTGAAAAGAAAATTGTACAATATATTCTGATTACATTTTCCCTCCTTAACTTCTCCCTGATATTCCCTACATACCCAACTCTATGAACTTTCTTTTTCTCTCTTTGGAAAACAGATAAACAAAACAAAGAAGCCATAATTTAAAAAAAGAAAAGAAAAAGAAAAACACAAGAAACATACATACACACCCACAGACACACACACAAAATCCTTAAAATACAAAATCCGAAACCATAATATATAATCAAAAGGCCAATATGACCAAAAGGAGGGGGCTCTAAATATTGGAATATGAAACAAAAAGTCTATAAAATACCATTGAGTTAGTTTTGTATTGCCCATTTACTTCTGGGCATAGGGCCTGTCCTTAAGTGTGGTTAATATACCTTATGAGTGTATTGGAGAAAACTAATTTTTCCTTGGCAGATTGAAGATAGCTTAATGGTTACTGATGGGGGCCTGTGTCCAGCTCCTCTGAACACTGGGACTCTTTCTGACTTCCATGTATATAGGCCTTGTACATGCTGTCACAGTCTCTGAGTTCATGCGTGTGTCAGTCTACCTCTTCTTCAGCATAGTTTCCTGAGCCTTGAGGGGAGAAGTTTGATGAAAAATATCCCATTTAGGGAACCCGTGCCCGACATTGCCTTATATTTAGATCTTACATTGGGTCTATTTGCATTCTTCTACATGTATCCATCCAGTTTGACCAGCACCATTTGTTGAAGATACCGTCCTTTTCTAAGTGTATTGTTTGGTTTCTTTATCAAAAATCAATTGTCTATACGTTTCTGGACTCAAGTCTGGGTCTTCAGTTTACATTGATCAACATTTCAGTTTTATGCCAATACCATACTGTTTTTATTACTGTAGTTCTGTAGTACAACTTAAAATCTGGGATGGTGATACCTTCGGCAGTTCTTTTATTATTCAGACTGTTTTAGTTCTGTGGTGTGTGTGTGTGTGTGTGTGTGTGTGTGTGTATTTTTCTATATGAAGGTAAAAGTTGTCCTTTCACGTTCTGTGAAGACTTTCATTGGAATTTTGAGGGGATTGCATTAAATATGTAGATTGCTTTTGGTAGGGTAGCTATTTTTACTATCCTGCCAGTCAATGGGCATAGGAGATCTTTGAGCCCTCAGATTCTCAAGGGTTTGTCTCACCCTCAGCAGAAGATGTACTCCCATCCTCACCCCTGGATTATTGCCTTTTCTGCCTTTAACTGGGGAAACGAATCCTTTATTGTCTGCTAAACCAACTGTGACTTTCCCTGAAGGATAATCAAGGCAAGGCACTGCTGATGTCCCTCCATGCCCACCAACCATTGCTTCTACACCTGTAACCAGATTTAAGGCTAAGCAGGCTCCTAGAAGGGAAGTACAAAGTGTATTCCACCAGGAAGTGCACTGCACTGCTAAAGGGCTTAATGAGTTTGCTAATTCGTTCTAGCAGAAGTCTGGGGAATATGTGTGAGAATGAATTTTAATGCTGTGAGATAATAGTGGAAGGAACATAAGACTGGATCAAGCTGAATGTATAGATATGGGCCCATTGAGTGGAGATTCTATATTTAATATGGAAGATTGCACCGTTTTAAAAAGTGTCAAAGGTTTGTTTGAATGGTTGACTGAAGCATTTATCAAAAGATGGCCTACGGAAAAGGAGTTTGAGATCCTTTGGCTTAGTTTTAATGAAGGGATTTTAGGGTTGCAGGAAATTGCAATGCTAGAGTATATACTATTTGTAAAACCTGACTCTCCACAATAGGAAGGCCCCTTCACCAATCCTATAAGATGCAAAATGGGGAGGCAGTACCACCACATTTGAAGAGTTTTATTATTCTTTGTGCCAGACCTCAGAGTTGAAGACACTGATACTCACTCAGTTAGATGAATTGAAAAATTGGTTTATTGAGCCCCAAAATAGCAGGGGTCAGGTGGCAGCATTGAATCACCAAAGGCAATGTGATCATAGTTATCGGAATTGGCAACATAGACAAAACATTGTCCATGATGAAACAGCACAGGCAAAGTGATTTTTATGGGGAGAAGACTTGCATGGACCTTTGGTACTGGTTAGTCATTGTGTTTCCAAGCATGAAATAGATAAGAAGAAGCCCACTGCATTTTTGTCTGATCTGTATATACAGAAAAATTCTCAAATGAGAGAAAGTCTACCTTGGATCATGGCAAAAGAAAATCTTGGGCCCATGAACCAATGTCCAGACTTGAATCAGTTTCAGAAATCCTTGAATCCTTGAAGGGAAAGACAGGTTTCACTGAGGAAGGGCCTTAATAAAAATACCTAAGAGTTCTACTGTTGTTAGCCTTTCTTCAGTCCTTCTCTAGAGGGACTTATGACCTTTTACAAAGGTAACTGTACATTGGGAAAATGGAAACAGTCAGACTTTCCAGGGTCTGTTAGATACTGCTTCTGAATTGATGGTCATTCTGGGAGACTCCAAGAAACAGTGTAGCCCTCCAATTATAGTAGGGGCTTATGCATCAGGTGATTAATGGAGTTTTGGATGAAGTCTGACTCACAGTAGGTCCAGTGAATCCCCAGACATCCTGCAGTTATTTCCCCACTCCTAGAATGTATAATTGGGATAGGTATACTTAGAAGTTGGCTTAGAAGTTGTGTCTTTTTATTAGGAAATTGAGACCATGAATATCAAAAGTTATCAATGAGTAATATTTATTGTTTCCTGTTATATTGTCATGGTGTGGGTCTCTGCTTTGGATTTACTGGTCTGGGGATTATTTATCCCTTTTGGAGTCTTGAATGTGGTTAACCTCTTGAGACTGAAGTTTTCCTTCTTGTACTTTCTGTAGGCCTGGATTTGTAGATAGATATTGCTTAAATTTGGTGTTATCTTGGAATGTTTTTCTTTTTCCATTTATTGTGATGAAAAAATTTGCTGGATAATGTAGTCTGGGCTGGCATCTGTGGCCTCTTAGCATCTGTGGCCTCTTAGAGTTTATAGAGCCTCTGCCCAGGGCCTTTTGGCTTCCAGCATTTCCACTGAGAAATCAGGTATTGTTCTAATGGGTCTTCCCTTATATGTTATTTGGTCTTTTTTTTTTTCTTGCAGATTTGAATATTCTTCCTTTGTTCTGTAAGTTTAGTGTTTGAATTATTAAGTGTCAGGGGGAGTTTCTTTTCTGGTCCAGTTTACCGAGCATCTGTATGCTTCCTGTACCCTGAAAGGCATGTCCTAAACTAGGGTGTCAGAAACTTTACAGTACAGGAAAAACATTAATTTCCTTTAGAATTTACTTCAGCTGTTTACTTGAGCTAAGTCTGTGAAAACACAGTTGAATAAAATAATGAAAACAATTTATGACATGAAAGACGAATTTGATAAAGAATTAGAATTACTAAAGAAAGTCCAAACCGAAATAAAACTGTAATAATACATCTAAGAACTCAAACAAAAATCTCAGAAGTAAGCTTAACCAAAAGATGAAAGGACATGGAAGATAGTCTCAGGTGTTGAAAACAAGGTAGCAGAAATGGACAACTGAGTCAAAGAAAATGCTTAATCTAAAAAAAATCCAGGCACAAAGAAAGATCCAGGAAATCTAGGACACTATGGAAAGACCAAATCGAAGCATAATAGGAATACAGGAAGGAGAAGAAACCCAGATCAAAGGCACAGGAAATATTTTCAACAAAATCATGGAGGAAAATTTCACCAATCTAAATTTCACTGGGCATTCAGGATCCCAGTATATCCCCCATCCTTCTTCAGGGTAACCTTTTAAGCACAAACCACATCCTGCATTGAGGAAAAACATCCAGAAGCAGAAGTACAGAAGCCAAAACGCAAGATTAGTACATTTAGAGACTTTCCTAGATCTATAGACTTTGATGCATTAGGTCTTTGTTTTTATTTTGGTAAGTGGTGCTGCCATATTCTGAGTGTTATGGCCTGGATGATTATTTCCATCATGGCATCAGTTGTGCTAATGTCTGCGTGCCTATTACTCTTGCCCAGTGAATGTTGTGTATGCACACATATATAAATATAACCTGCTGAGTCTGTTTTTGTTGTTCATATGTATGTGGTTTCATGCATAAGCATTTTGTATTAGATAACCAATTAGGGGACTTATCCCTGGGAGAGGCTAATTCTGCTCTTTAAGCAGTCATTGGTTGCCTATAATTCCTTGTCTAGAGGTAGGAGCCCTTGAGATTTTCCTTCTTCTGCATTAACATAGATACTGATATTGCCATTATTCTGGTCTTATTTATGCAGCCATTTCTAGGAGAGACTGCCACACCAGACTTACCAGTATGCTGGCTTTTCTAATCGCTCTGCTTTTCAGTGATATGTCTGAGCCATAGATGCAGGAGCTGTGATGTAGATTTGTTAATGGGGCTGGGCTCCCCACAATCTTTTGATCTCTGTATCGTGTCTAGCTGTGGCTTTCTGTGATAGTCTACATTTGCTGTAAGAGAAGCATTTTTGATAAAGGGTAATAGCTATACTTACCTGTGAGTGTAGTTTATATTTACCTAAAATTACATACAATGAATAAAAGCCAATATTTATCCATATGATATATATATATATATAAATAACATGTTAATCTTAAAGGAAATTGTGCCTCTTAGTATGACAGTGCTTTCCACATAACTATAGACCAACAATACTAAGCACAAGAAAATTGCTTTGGAATGTGTGGTCAGGGTAGTCCAGTTGACTCTCAATACAATATAGACTAGTGTTGTTGCCTTTGGCTGCTTCTCAGAAACTGAAGATAAGCTCCTATTGCCAAAGACACCACATAGTAAAAACAAAGGGCTTTTCTGCATTCTAGTTTCCATGGTACCATGAAATACTGTGTAGGCTGCTATG